TTTTCACTTATTTTTATTTCCTTTGACTCCCGAAAATAATTTTCTTGGCCAAGTCTAATTAGTTTGACTTCCCTTTCATGTCTTCAACAATTGAATTTTCAGTTAAAGTGGCTTCAATTATTTCAACTTCAAGTAATTTTTATAGGCGATTTTTATCCTCACATGGCAATGTTTCGACTTTTAGCTCTCGACTTCTTTGGCTAGAAGTCATTGACGCAAATAAGTACTTTGAAAAGTCGACATGACATTTGTGTGATGTTGTTGCAGAGCTCTGCAACTTATAACTTGTAAAGTGGCCTAAGCTCTGTAGGGCGTCAAGCTGTTGCCGGGTTCTATTAGGATTTTCATCGTTTTGAATTTATAAAAGCTCTAGCCAAAGCTAAGTTACAGCTTTTGCGGTGGTAAGAATCTTTTTTACAGAAAAAAATCACCCAATCCGCAAAATAAACAACAAAAATCTCTAACCGGTGAAGGCCTTTCTGAGGTTATCACTATAAACCGTTTGTATCCATTACTAGAATGGAAATTGTTTCAGTACAACGGTTGTCCCGGTTGTCCTCTAAATTGGCAAGATTAGTTTTGTCAATTTGTGAGCGTATTCGACTCCGCCCTTTTGAAAGAAGAAATCAAGCTGACATCCTTGAAAGATCTCGCAAATGGAAAGAACAAAAATGCTGTCGCTGATTTTCCGCATCTGCTTTATTGTACATGAATGCATCGAAAATTTTTATTTGCAAATTGTGACAGCGACAAACTGTAAATTACACTCATCTTGAAAAACTTAATCGTTACTTCTTTCAAGATGCATAATTCCGACAACTTTAAATATTTCGCATCTTCGATCTCAAATATCGTTGGTGTATTGATTGATGTCAGTATCCTATACCCAGAAATTTGAAGCTGTTGTTTTGCTCAACCAAGCACTAGGTAAGCTGTAACCCAACATGAAGGAATCATGGGCTCTTCAACGAGGAGAAGGCGTCTATTTTTTTACAAACAACCTTTGCTCCATTTCAAAGACTGGTCCGCAGAAAATAAAGAGAAGCTTGAACGCATGAAGCAAATGTTCCGAAAAACAAAAAACCGAAGAAACCAAACCAATATAGGTTCCTCTGAAATTGGTTGCGAAATTTTGTCAATTACTTACAGAGTGACTGAAAAAAAAACACTCTTAAACTTAAAACACTTAATTTAACGAAACCAATTACCCACCGCACCTTACCAACCTTAAGTTATGTCTCGTCGGTTTTTAACACATTCGGTCCAGTTTTGTTGTACACGGCTTCTACTGAAAGATATTTTGCATCATTCTGGCCACCACTGGGATGAGGCGAGCAAATGTCAGGCGAGCTTCCAGAAATGTCCATAGTATGACATACCAGTTCACATTACTCGGACGTCTAGTGTTTTTCACAACTTGTGAAATGTGGTCAACCCTGGTTCATCACTCTGAGCTGCATATGTTTGGTGAAAAACTTCAGGGTGTTTGTTGCAAGCTTTTTTTTCTGTGTGGTCGGGTCGCCCCATTGTCACAAATGAAGCCAATTTTGCTTTTGGAAAAACTAGAGTAGCGTCGATTCCCAGCTTGAATTGCAAGCAGACTTCTGGGCGAGTCGACTGAGACTTGAAACTGAGAAACAAGTGACAATCAAACGATAACCTAAAACCTGTTGACTGGTAGCAACTGTTTACTGGTATGCCGAAACGAAAAGCAAAGATAGTTATGCCAATGATTGCTGAACTTCTGCTCTAGCGACTGGGTTACCACTAACCGCACTTCGAGAACTGCAAAAAAAATCGGTCATTTCACTAAGGAATCAATGAAGGAACGACTTCCGTCATCTGGTCCGACAGTGGTACAAGTTTGCTTGTTTTGGCAAAAAAGCTGATTTCGGGTATCGAGAACTGAAAACGTCATGCACCCGTACTGTTTGCTCAAAAAAACCTAATCTGGAAACTCAACCCACCCAGTGCTCCTCACCTGAGAAGTGAGGGCGAAAGGAATGTTCGGAGCACCAACAGCATTTCTATGTCTTTCTCGCAAAAGAAAACTCACTGAGGAAGTCCTCATACCCACTTTCTCTTTAGTTGAGCAGTCTCTAAACAACTGACCGCTTATATCCGTATACACACATCCGAACAATCTCGATGTTTCAACCCAGCTGGTTTTGTTAACACTGTCTGTTTTGTTAAAACTGTCACCGAACAATGTCGAAGCTGGTTTTGTTAACACTGACTGCTTTGTCTGCCATTTTTAAGTTCAATTTTTTAGTTTTTTGGTAGTTTTCAATATCAGAAATTTTAATGGAAAAAATGCACATCAAACATTTTTCATATATCGAATTTGTATGATAAATTTTTTTCCCGTACATTTGATGTATGTAATTGTTTGTGCTGCTTAAGCGTTTTTTCCGTAGGAGGTCAACCCGGTAATGTATTGCGTTCAATAATACAGCAATAATTACACGTTTTATGATACAACAAGAGTTCGCATTGTTGTCAAAACAGCAAATCATCAAACAGCTGAATTAAAAAACTTATTCAATTTTTTTACATCAAATCCTGCATAGCTTAGCAACCCTTGTAGAGAACATTTTAATGGAAAACTTATTGAGATTATACATTTGGAGAAAATCACTCTCGATTTTTTGTTATTTTTTCTTGCCGCAGGTAATTTTTCCTGCGGATTTTTTGATATTTTTTGTTACCGCAGGTAATTTGTCCTTTCAATCAACCGATCAAACAAAATAAACTATGTTTTGGCTAAATGAAAGTGTGTTTTTCATGCGTTTTTTGAGCGACAGGATAACCAAAAATAATTTCAAAAGCCGTTGAATTGCCTTTTTTGAAGTTAAATTTTTATTTTTAGATAAAAATGTCATACAATATATATTTTAGTTGAAAAAAAAGTACTTTAATTGGATTGTCTGGTGGTTATCTGCTTGAGTGTATAGAGGTTAACCCGGATGTCATTGAATCAATTGTCATACTATCTTTTTTATGGGCTGTTTTTGTATGGTTTTGTTAGTCCTGATTTCAAACAAAAAAACTACACCCATATGTGGAGCAGGTTTGCATTTCTTGTAAACCGAAAATTGTAACCGTTTGATGAAAAAAAAATCCGATGACAATGAATTTTCGAAAAATCTTGTAGAAAGATTGAGAATTACTAGATCAATTCTGTTTGGCAAAGCTTTTGAGAAAAATTTTCAGAATTATAATAGATTATTTCCTGAAAATTACAATTCATTAAGTTCTATTATAGTTTCAATCAATTTAAAATTCGTAAAAATCGATTATAATGATTTGTCGTCTCTATATTGCTTGCAACATGTTTTGCAAAGCTTTCAACAACTTCTGCTTTGCTCACGGCCGGCCTACTCAAATTCTAAAACTACTCAATTTTATAACCTTCAATTATGGCACATAAGCTTCTTTTGGCTCAAAAATTGAGCAAAAAAATTGAAAAAACAAGATAAGTATTTTTTGAGCCAAATCAAGTTTTGCTTTATCTATACTGTGTAGCAAACCAGAAGCAACCTACTGTGTTTGAAATTCTTAATTTCGATTATTTTGAAATTTTGTAGAGACTGACAACAAAACTCCAAAGTAAAGTATTATTATCCGTGTAATCTAGTACGAGTAGTTTGATAGCTAGCCCTATCTGTTCACCAAATTGCACTTCCTTTTCGTCAACTTATTATACTACAAACTTCACTATTTAAAAAAGAACATTTTTTTCATATGCCCTGATGCATCATATATCTATCTTTTACCCATAGTACACATGATTGAACTCACAGTAAAAAAAGCGGTTGCATAGTTTGAAAATATTAATTTTGAAAACGTCTGATATAATTTATGCTCTAATTTTGTTCGTCTTGTTTCCAAAAAAAGGTTAATTCAGTTTTCTTTTTTGTCTTTTTAAGAATCTTTTCTGATGATATTTAATTTATACCCTTGTAGAAAAAATGAGATAATTTTTTTATTAAATTGTTAATACAAACTAACTTCTGCTATCAGAAAAAAGTGCTGCACTACATTATGCCAAAAAATTTACAAAAAATTATGTTTGGTTTGGTTCGTTTGTTGGTTGTTTTCCCTCTAGACAATACTCGAAATTAGAGTTAGCAGTTTTTGACACCTTTTGATACATTCCGAAGGAATTGAAGTTATGGGCTTCAATTGAAGAAAAACTGACGAATAATGTTTGAAGCAATTCACACTCAATTCAATCTTTTTTCACACTCAAGTCCCCCGTAAAGTGGGTTAAATGCATGGGTTAAATGAACGGTGTAAAAGAGGAGCTGTAAGCGGCGGGGGGTTGGCGTGCACACGGGGGGATTCGGGGGATGTACTTATGTGAGGGGGTCATATGAAGGAGTGAGTTCATACGCTGGAGGGAAGCAAGGGTCGCAAATTACGTTAGGGTCGCAAATTACGTTAGGGATAGTAAGCAAAGAAAAGATAAACAAAAAATGAGAAAATACAAAATAGGTGAGGAAAAATTGAGAACCAAAAACTGAAAACGTGATAATTAATTTCTAAATCAAAGTAAACCTAGTTTTATCTAATTTCATGTGTATCAAGCCAAAAGTAACTGTAAAGATTTTAATAAACATCACTGTGTTTATACTGCAAACGTTTAGAATAGTCTACAGAAAAGTTGTAATGCATTATAATTGATTGCACTCGATTAAAATGGATTTTAGTGTTTGATTTGATAAAAAATAAGTTTATAATCCATGTTTAGTTGGTGGTAATTGATTAGTTTTGAACTTTACAGAGACTGACAATGAGAATCATATATAATCGATTATTTTTCACGAAACTCGGGTGCGGACAAGGCTAGCTCTAGTCTTGAAAATTCTGAATTACCCTCGTGGTGGTTTGAAAAAATCCATTTTTAATGGCAGCAAAACCACCAATTCGATCCCGATTTATAAGCAAACAAGCAATTAAATTTCAATTCTCTGCAACGAACAATAGTTCTACCAATTTTATTTATAAGTAATATGAGCATATGAGTTGATGAGGTTAGTGAATTTGTCGATGAAGATGTCGAAGTTATCTTCAAGCACACAAGACATGAGGTCCTTCTGGAAGTTTCGGATTCGGTCCACCTTCTCAGTGACTTGTGCATAGCACTCCACTAGTCTGGCTTTTGCCACTGAAAATGCATTTTTCGCTTCCTGAAAAAGACTTCAATTGTTCAAGAAGAAAGAAATTTATCTAATACGAATATCATGTAACTTTTTTTTTTGAAAAACTCAATCAACCCACCCATGATTAAAAAAGGATTTAAGTTGGCTCCAAATTTTTCCCAGGTGAAATCAATCTGACGGCTATCTTTTGCAACTTTTTGAGATTATGATATTGAAAATCAAAGCAAGTCAAAATACATCATTCGGCTGACAAGCTAGAGACATTAATAGCCAAAATTAGCAGACCCGAACAAAACGAATTTTCAAACATAAACCGAAACTGCTCCTGACTGTTCCGGTTGACTTCTATCGTCAATCACAGGCTTTTTATCTAAATATCGAAGGTCGACAATTTTGGGATTACTGTTGGTTTGCGCAGAGGTTCAGCAACCACTGCTAAAAGCAAAAAAAGGACTAAAAAGGCTTGAAGTTTTTTGCTGGCCATCAAAAAATCGACAAATAAATTATACCTTCTGGCACATTAAGCCAGTGAGTATTTAATATTTTTTTGTGTTTGTCTCTGTGCATAAATCTTGGATCGAATCCCTCATCATTATGCAATTTCTGAGAAATAAGCAAGCACAAAGCTGTTTGACTTTTCTGTAAAACTCCTAAAAAAGGGCACGCTTGTTGAAAAGATGATTAATTTTTCAGGAGATAGTGATTAATTCTATGGCGCAAAAGAATGAAAGAGCTGCTATAAAAAGCAGTAAGTTTGAAATTGACATTGACTAGGGAAAAATTTGCTTCCAACTGAAACAAAAACCGATTCAGATTATTCCGCCGCATACACGTGTTGAGAGAACGCAACATACAGCGCGTTAGTTATTTGTTGCTACCATTGAAGCTAAGGAAGAACTTTGTATTCGGGTGTGTTTTAGTTTTTTTTTGTTTTTGACGCAGAATCAGATACCACAAATAATCAACGGAAAATTTCGAAAAATATATCACGTTAAAGTCCTTTCTATCGTCATTGGAACGACAAAAAAAAATTGTTTGAAAAAAGTTCTCAAGGTTCAAGAAAAACCCGTTTGAAATTTTTCATTTTTTGGTTTGATTCGAGCGAATAAGGAATAAGGTAAGCGAGCATTCTTAACTAAGCCGTGAAAACTTAAATTCACCCGTGAAAAGTTGGTTTGGGAGTTTGTTGCCGCCTTTTAAGCAATCACAATTTTACAATTTTGTTCAAAATTCAAAAATTTCTGCAAAAAAAGTTTGAAAAATAAATATCCATGGCTCTTCATGGTCCCAGAAGTTTTGCGCTCGCCACTAGACTCGATGATTGCTGTGAAACTCTCAGTATCAGAGTAAGGTGGCAATAAGAGCTTTGCCACCTTACTCTGATGCTGACAACTTAAGGTGGCAATTGATGCTGACAATTTAATGCGCTTCACAAAATGGCTCCGAATTAAGTTCAGGCAGGTTAATTGGTCTCATTAATTTCATACACGATTCTTTTTATTCAGCTTAAATTTGATAGTTTGTAAGTATTTCATTAACCAAGTATTTCATTAACCAAAAACTATTCAAGATCAGTTTTTAGACAGTTGAAACATTCAGGGCTTTGCCCTGATACGAGCAGTCTTGTTCTAGAGTTGCTTAAGTTCTAGAATTTTTTTTTAGATTTTTAGGACTAGGTGGGAGCATTCTGGGCTACTTACTTAGTAACCGGCTATTCCTGCTCGATATTGCCAAGTTGGAAATTTTTTAAACCTAATGGTTTAGAAAAAATGATCACACCTGAAAATTTGATTTTTTTTCCGGCTCAAGACAACGATATCTTTTAGATACTTTTAGACATTTATTTGGTAAAATTGTTTAGTTAATCTAGTTAAAGTCAAAATGTGACCCAACAAATTTGCTATACGTAAGGCTAAGGTTTAGGACTTGCTTTTCATGCAAAATAGCCTATAGATTATTAACTCCTTTTTATTATTCTGTGGTTTCGATGATTTCGCAATTTTTTCAATTTGTAAATTAGTGGGGTAATTATACATTTCCCCTCATCAGATATCATCAGATAGTTCTTAAGGCGTAACTTACGGGTTTGATCATAAGGAGATTGTAAATTGCAGTGAAGTGTGTTTGTAGTTGGGTAATGAACTAACGTACCTATTTTTATGACTATTGGACGAGGCTGAACAAAATTAAGAATGCAAGAAATGAAAAGGGGAGGAGGGGAGGAGGGGAGGAGGGAGGGGGTCATGGACAGTAGAAGGGCCAAATTAGTGTATTGTGTGGATGTGTGACCTTGAGGTCGTTCACTCCCCACTTGAGTTTCTTCTCCACTCTGTCCTTGGTGGTCTGGAGCAGTTTGATCTGTTTGTTGATCTGCTGCTGGTCCTCCCCTCCACTCCTGATCTGCGTCTGGTATCTACTCAACTCCCTCTGCTTACCACCCAGAGTGTCGTCCTGCTTCGAGATCTGGTTCTAAATTACAACCGCCCAAAAAAAAATGTTTAGTTATATTTATAAATTCGACGCAGATTGCGCAGCAAAAAGATGCATCAGTAGCAAATACACGGATTGCGTAGTCCATCATGTATCACATCTAAGAAAAGCAGGTAAAATAGAGATCATTTTAATTTAAACGTGCATATTAACCTTGAATAAAAATCTTTTAGAGCCAGCTGACCAATTGATAGTGAATAGCATAAAGTTCAGTTCATTAAATGTATTTGCAACATCCATATTCTGCAACTCTTTGTTCTTCAGATCTCTTCTCGAAATCGGAAGAATCTCACGCGTAGTTTTTTTCGGCCGATTTTACGTATACCAGCAGAGCTCGTAAGGGTCGAATGTGATATTATAATAAACTAGTGGACAAAAATAAGCGCAAATTCAGGATTTCTTTCTCTAAAATGCCTGTTTTCAATGTCCATTTTGGACAACATTTCCGTCGGAATTCGGTAATATTTTTACATAGACCAAGACCAAATGATCAGAGCTACCCTCTATGAGACTATCAATATTTGGTTTCAAGGAATTATTAATGCAATCCGGATCTGAAAATGCCAGTTTTCCTCATCTGTGCTATCTTTTTTTTTTTACTTCGCGTGGAAAAATAAGAAACGTCCGAGTTGAGTAAAGTCTTCTGATTGGTTGTTTTTTTATTCCGCTTATTCAAGAAAGAGTTCACTACGATGCAAAACTGATGCAATACCAGTGCAGATGAGGAAAATTGAATTTTTATATCCGGATTACATTGTTAATTCCTTGATACCTTGAATTAAAAGTCTCATAAAGGGTAGCTCTGATCATTTGGTCTTGATCTATGTATAAATGTTACCCAATGTCGAAAGAAATGTTGTCCAAAACGGATATTGAAAAGAGGCACTTTAGAGAGTAATCCCCTAAATTTGCGCTTAATTTTGTTTACTAGAGTAAGAGGTTTACAGTTGCCCAGCCCCTCAAAAGGATACAAATCAAAGTTGCTGAAATAATGTTCTTACGGGAACTTGCCTGTAAGTATTGTTGTGAATTTCATTTGTTCACTCTGATACTTTTGTTTGCATTTAAAAGCATCAAACTCTTTGGAAAGAGGTTTCTATAAAAGACAGTTTGGAAAACAAAAATGGGGGAGTGAAACTCGAGATAAGCCTATTAAAATCGTTTATTTTGAATCCTATGTTATAAAAAGTCAAAAAAGATATCTCTCTCAGTGCCTAGAAATAATAACTTTGTGGGGCCTGGGAAATTATACGGCTCTTTTTCCTTTTCCCCCCACCTCACAAGATCATCATTTTATGGTGTACGAGTAATTTTAGAAGGTTAATTATGAAGACTAAATATGTTTCGCACAGCTTAACCAGTCCGCATGCCAAACTTCATAACGATCAGGCAACTTGAACAGTAACTGTACTTATAAAAAAATTGCGGGTGGGGGAAAAAGGAAAAAAGCCAATTGTACGATAAGCAAATTAGACGGATGCTACAAAAAAGAAATTGGACGGATTTTGTATTACAGATCTGGCATTTTAGATGTCACTGCTATGAAAAGGAAAGGGCCAACAAAATTTTTTCATAAGAGTCAAGATTCACAAATACAAAAAGAACATAAAATGACGATACCTATCAAAAAAATTAATTTCAATGAGCATAAAATGTCAAATCCAAATATTACCGTAGAGTTTTGAATTGAATAACTTATGCATAACTGAAATGTAAAATTTTTGGCCACCGAAAATTAACTGTTTTCTGCGAACAATTTTCTTTTTCTCACGCAATTTGTCTGCAAACAATTTTAATCTCTCTTACTTTTGTCTATTTTCTCACAATTGCAGTTTTGCAAAAATCTCTAATATCCTTTTAAGTGCCTCCGTCTAATTTGCTTATCGTCTAATTTCTCAACCGCCAATTTTGTTCAGCTAATGAGACCGATTGACGAAATTTATCAACAAAATTAAGTTTACAGCATACAAAATTTTTCTTAGAAGTTTGTGTGTTTTGCATTTTTTTGTAATCCTTGACTGTTTTGCCTTTTCTTTAATCCTTGATTTAATCCTTGACAAACTTGAGACAAAAATTGATTTAAATCGATTCTTAAACAGATAATGTACTGTGTAGAAATTGATTTACGATAGCTATTGCTATTGCTATTGCTGATCGCTTTTGCCCACTATAAAAAACAGCAATAGAGAAGATTTTAAGAAAAACTGAATTTTCAAAAAGATTTTTTGACATTGTTTTACTTATTTTTGGATGTCTTCACTTCAATCATTGTTGTCAAAACTTTCTCTGCAACTTTAAATGTAAATTTTGCAATTTTACTTCATTTTTCATTGAAACCGAGTTGCTTTGAAAAACAAATGAAACTATGTCTTTGGTTTTACTCGCACTTGAGTTTCATGGATAATAATTAAATAATTTTGAGTTTCATCGCCAGCCTCTATATATTTCAAAAATATGCATTTATAATCAAATGGAAAAGGACTTAATTCTATTTTTTGTCAAATAAATAAAATTTGAATTATAATAATTGGTAAAACTAAACTGAAATTTTCAAACGTTTACAATTGCTTTTTTCTTACCAACACACGTTGCATTAGATAAGCTGATGTAAAGTTTGGCTGAAAAATTTGTTTTTAATGTTTTAAATTTTTCTGTTCACAATTTTCTTAATAAATATTTTCAGTTTCTTAGTTTTTGCTGACATTTAGTTACCCTCGCTTATCCAATATACGCCCCTTTTCGCCTCTCCAGCATTTGCCTCCTCCTCCACTTTTACTTTTTTACCCAACCTCTCATATTTACAAACCCCCTCCACACGTTTATGATTTCCCCCCCTCACAATCCCCCGAACCAAATTCTAAGTTTGCTCACATGAGGGCGAACAAACAGAGAGGGGCTGAGCAGGGTTGAACAGGGAAGAGGATGAGAACGTGGATGGGGATGGAAGCTTGTTTGAAGGTGCAAAAAAGGGGCGGGTATCGTACGTACGTTGGGGAGGGGTACAAGGAAATGAATAAGTTTGTCGGGATATACTTTTGCTGAACGCTACAAGAGAAGACTTAGTATTTCACATCTATCAAAAAAGATCAATTTTTTTGCGAGTTTTGATCGAAAATCATTGATAATGTTGAATATAATATATTTTGAAGATTAAAGACATAAATCTTGTTCTCGTGGTTATTTTTATGAATCATTTAAATTTTATTCTCGTGGTAAAATGTGCCAGGAGCGTCGAATAAACAAACAAGATTTTTTTTGCCGCTATGATGTTTTAAGAACGTCTTTTTCCCATGAAACTGTAATGCGATGAGTTGAGATTCCCGCAGTGACGTGACAAACTTGAGGTGAAAATTGATTTAAAACGATTTATAAACGGATAATGTGCTTTGTAGAAATTGATTTACGATAGCTCATTTAGATACATAAATAAATCGTTTTTGAACAGATTAAATGAAAAATGCAAGGTACTGAAAAATCATCAAAATCTCAACAAATTTGACTTAACACAACTTCTTTTTTGTTTCGAAGCTTGAAATGTTTTTTCTACTCAACATAATTTTAAGTAGAGCCACAGAGAACAAGATTCACTCGAGTAAAACTTTGCACCCCAAAAATATGCGTATGAGGGATTTTTTTTCAAATTGCGCAAAACTAAGGGTTCCCGCGGTAATAAAAAGTACATTTATGCAAAAATTTTCAAAGCCATTTTCATTATCAACGTTATACCCGCACTCAGTAAAAAAAATCGATTATATTATAGTTCTAATCGTACTTTAAGCAAAACTATAATTAAAAATAAGCGCCAATTTTAGATGTTAGAACGAGTTATAATGATAACATATTTGGTGACATTTTAATAAGTTTTAGTCAATTATAATTGGTTATAATTTTTCCAAAAATCTCTTATAATCTATAATCTATTATAAAAGATTATAATCATTTTTTCTATCAAAATGTTATCTCTCAAAAAAATCAATTATTATATATTATAATTTAGCTATTCTGCATGAAAACACAGTAAAACGAATTTAATTTGAGTTTAAGCTATAAGTTTAAAATTAATATTTCTTTCAGTTCGGTAAACAACTGAAAAGCACAAAAAAATCAAACGAAAATAAGCAATAAACTTTGTTGAATTACCAACTGAAAAGCTCACAAAACAAAACAAAAAAAAACGAAATGAAGCGATGACGTTTGTTGAATAATAATTGATTATAATCCATTATAATAGATTGTTTTTCAATGATTTTTGTGATAAAAATTAAAAAATGAATCGATTATAACTGATTATAATTGATTATAATGATTTTTATTGTTTCAAAAATAGTAACAGTATAATCCATTTTCTAATTGGTTATAATCAAATCTTTTTGAAAATTATGGAGACTGACAATAAAAATTCATTAAAATCGTTTATTTTTTCTTTTTACTGAGTGCGGGCAGGCTCAAAATTGTTATATATACACTCACACACACACACACACACACACACACACACACACACACACACACACATATATATATATATATATATATATATATATATATATATAATATATATATAAAAATTCGGAAAAACAATTTTACAAAACAGTTTTTTGAAAAAAACATGCCAAAAAGGCGTTGGAATTTTTTGGAAATTTTGCAGAATTACCTTTTTTCATGAACTAGAGCAGAAACTGACGGGGAATCCCTCATTCGCGAAGGACCGAATGCGCAAAAATGTTGTCAGCCAATCAGAAATCATTTTTCATAAACTTGAAGGATCGCGATAAATTCAGTCCGTTTTGGAAGTTTAAAGGGAATTGATTGGTTGACCATTTTTGCGCCTTCGGACCTTTACCCGAAACCAACTGGTGTTTAGTGAAACTAACTTTGAGGAGCCGCTGCTCGAACGTCAATTCCTCCACCTTCAGCCGCAACTCCTTGTTGTTCTGTTCTATCCTCACAATGTCCCCACTGATCGCCTCAATCTCCCCTCCCACCTCCTCCTCCTCCCCCTTAAATCTGTCTATCTTCTGTTTCAACTCGTCTCTCTCCGCCGCCAGACGGGGCAAGAAGTCGAACTTGAAGTTGTGTGACACTGTCCTAAAAATAAAAATGGAACAGTTCAAACAGTTTTTACGAAAATTAAGCTTGATATTTCTTTTAAAATGCTCAAAACCGTTTAAATAGTTCACTCTGAAGCAAGATTTTGAGCAAGCATAGCTTGAAGACGTGTTTTAACTACAAACTTACATTTTTGTTCTAACAGGGGCGTATGATCCCATTCCGGGTTACCAAAAACGAGACTTCTGCGAATATTTTCAAATAAGGTTATGAGGTGTTTAAGCGGTCAAATAGATGCCCCGCCTGAAAAAGCTTTTGTTTTCAAAACTAATCAGTTTTTTATTTGATGCGCTTTGGCTTTTATTTTTTAAAAAAGTGGCCGAGTATGGGCCCACAACTATCGTTCTCCCCAGCCTCTCACCTTCGCCCAAAGCAGAATTTTATTTTACCTCTTATGAGCAAATTTATGAGGGTTTAGAAGTAGAAGGAAAAGTAGAAGTATAAAACATATAAGATCATTTTTTTATCCACGAGGGATAGGACCAACATACGAGCTGTACAGCTCATCACGGCGAACCGCTGTTGTGCCCCTACTTAAGAACTACATGCAATTTTTTTGGTTATTTTTCATATATTTCAGTTAGTTCAGCAAAAGGCTAAATTACACACCTGTATACGTTCTCGTTGTGTTTCCACTTGTCAATCATCTCCCTGTACTTGGCCTCCATGTCCTTGATGACGTCACGACTCGCTCTATTTTGTCGTCTCACCTCAATCAACTCGTCCTCCAACCTGTCCGCCTCTCGGCCTTCCTCCAATTCGGCCTAACGAACACTTTCAGATCTTTCTGAGCCAAATTTATCCATCTCAAAATGATTTTTTTTTCTGTACCCTAATTGAGTTTTAAAACTAGATTTTTTTAGTATTATTTGAGAAACGGCGAACATGTAAAAAGAAATATCTAGGTCTTTTTTAGTTCCGATGAAGTAACAAACTGTTATGACAAAATAGTTAACCGGTGGCAGGACTCGAATTTACGTCTCTGATTGCTGCTCTATAAAAATCAGTCTTAAGCACTTGAACATACCAAATCAGTGAAAGTTAGTTCAAGCTAGTGAGTTTTATGGGATCTGATTAACTACCCCCACCCCCACGGTACTTTGTATCGAAGTCTCTCCCCCATTTGCTAAGAAAGGTAGGGAAAAATATAAAAAATCCGCTTCTTGGTTTATGGCCATAGTTTCTGACAACGGCTATATGATTTGCAAATAATCGCGTAAGGCACCCTACCAAAGTTTCTCAGATAAAAATAGATCGTATTGTGAAATATCGCCGAAAATGTGCCATTATAAACGATAACATGTCAACCATATAAAATACATTTTCGTTTGAATTAGCTAGAAAATGGGTTATTTTCACATTGATTATATCACGCTATAAGTCCACTGAACCTATTTTTACCTCCGAACAATCTCAAGAAAATCAATTTTTTCTTCGCCTTATAATCTCAAGAAAATCTATTTTTATCTAAAGAATCTTTGTCTGGGCTTTCAATGACTCATTGAAAGCCCAAATTTTCATTATCAAATTGAAAAGGAGAGCATGAAACATTAACCATTGCGACCAGGAATTAACTAAAAATCATCAGATTATAAGTCAATTTATGCTTCAAATTTTTCAATAGAAATATTTATTCACTTACTGATTATTTTTAGTTCGAAAACAGTTTTAGGCAATACCTTGAGAAATAAGAAGCAGTTAAATCTTTAAAAAACTTAGCAATGAAGAGCATTGAGACCATGAATTAGGTAGAAAATAACTATAAGAAAAACTTCAATTTTTAGCAGGAATTCTTTAAAAAAACTTGAGGCAGTAAATTGGGACATCAACAGGCAATTAAATCTAAAAAAAAGAGAAATGTTTATGAAGTGTTTATGATTTAACTGAAACTCAGCAGTAAAGTTTTCTGTTTTCACAGTAATTTTTTAAAGAATATTTTGATTATATTCAGCTCAAAAACAATCTAAGACAATAAAAGTGACAGATAAATGAACCATGAGAGCACAATGCTCAAATATGCTGGAAAAAAATAAAATTATTAAACGGAAACTTACAGCGTAAACTAAATTTGCTAAAAATTTACAGCAAGTGTGTAACCGAATTTTTTTAATCAATGATTTGTATTTCTGTTTCAAAGTAGAAAATCATTCTTACAAGGAGTCACGTTCTTAAAGCAAATATAAGTGAAAAAAAAAGATTTTATTGTCATCATTTGATGCGAAAAAAATTATTGAGGTTGTATGCAGAAAAAAAAAGATTGTATTGCATTAATACGGAAAAATTGTGTTTTTTGGCGTTTAAATGAAAAAAAAAAACAGTTTTTAATTGCTAGGTAATTATCAGTCACAAATTAAAGTGTCTTGAAAAGTTTTTGTCTTTTAAAAGTTTTTGTCTTTTAATTGCTTATTAGAGGTTCGTACGCAAAATTGCCAGGTAATTGACTATTAACTAAGAAGCTTTGGTGCGGGCAGCCATGTTATAGCTAAACCTTGAGTAAAACTTCAATTAGCTCTATTCTATGAATACTTAACAAAAATAATAAGAATATTAATCTTGTTGTATAGTTAATATCGAATTGTTGACTTTGAGCTACTTAAAAAAAACGAAAAAACTAGGAACATTAGTGTTTATTGCACCGTTTTTACGGCCGAATTGAAGTTAAAGCTGGTTTCTGATATCGAAACGAGCATGTATAAACATTGAGCTTCGCTCAGATTCTTTGACCGAAAAAAACTTACCAAAACTAACTTGCTTTTTAACAAAACTAACTATTTTCCAAGTTTTTATGATAACTTGATTTGGATTACAGAAATTGAAATTTTTTGATGCCAGCTAAAAGCAAAAAAAATGTTAAAAATTTTTATTCAAGTGACAGGTGATTTACGGTATCAGTGCGGTCAGTGCCATCGGCGAAAAATCAATACCAAGCAAAATATGTCATTGGAAGCAAATCAATACCCATGAAAAATAGTTTTTAATGCCCTTATCTTTTCCATGAGGTTGTATTACGGTCAGAAAGGCAGATTAGCGATTTTTTTTAAAAAGTTTTTAAAGTATATAGTTTCGAAACGTTTTGAAGTGTGCCAGAATTTGTGTCCAAAAATCTAGTTTTCCGGAAATTTTTAGTGTCTAATATTCAATTTTATCAGTGCCAATACCAGTTCTTTCAGTGCCAGTATTTTTTTGTGGCACAGTGACCACCCTGAATGATGAAAACGAGCACTTGGAGTGTTTTGGTAGCCGGCTTTTTTACACAGAAAAATTTGAGGCAAGCAATTCAAACGTTGAAATTACTAAAAATTACAGACTGTTTTGAATGGTGAAATTGATTTGCTGAAAATTGAAGTTTCTGATGCAAAATAATAAGTCTGGTACAATAATAATAAAACTAGGGACTTATTTTTTTTCACAAAACACCAAGTTTTTTCAATTAAACTATCAACCAATGAAACCTAGAAAAAAATTCAAAAGCTTGAATTGATTTGAAATACCTGCAATGATATGCAAAACCTGCATTGTTTTGAAACTAACCTAACCAATCGGGGAAAATTAGACAGGTATTAAGAATTTTTCGATGGCTTGCATTGATTCGCACAACCAAACTATCAACTAAAGGATTTTCTGAAGTTGTTTTGACGGCGCGCTTTGGTTTGCAAGAAATTAAAAGTTTTTGAGCGACGATACAATCAAAAAACATTCCATGTTGCTTTGATGGCCTGTTTTCAGCGGAACATTAAGTTTTTTCTAAAGCAAGCTGCTCAAGCGAAAGAAATTTCAAGTTGTTCGGATAGTTTCTTTTGGTTCGCGAAATGTGAAAACTTTTTAGTCTTGCCATAAAAACATGAAACATAAACAATTTTACGAATGTAACTGGTGTGCTATGTTAAATTGATTTCCAATCAATGTACACGGGCGATGAAATTTCTTGAAAAAAAAAACTTGTTGATAGCTTCGATGAATTTGCTTTACTTTCATGTTTTTCGATTTGTTTTATCATTCGTTCGAACGTTTATCAGCAAAATTTGAAATTTTCTTAAGCAAGCTATCAAATCCGGGAATTTTTCAAAGTTTTTTGATGCTTCACTTTGCTTTGTCAATCATTACGAGGCCAAATTGTGCACTGGATAGGCGCGTATTTTTGTGTCTGTATATTCCTGGATTCCAAAAACAAGGTCTTAATTAGCAAACTATAAAATCAAACAAAGAAACTTTGAAGCCGTGTAGTTTGGTTTTTTGCTTGGTGTTTGTTCGAGAAAAAAGTTGAAGTGGACTGTTAAATGATGAAACAAGGGGAGGATTCAAATTCGATCTGAAGCAAAATAACAAAGCAATGAATCTTCAACATTTTAACAATGTTTTGATGGCCTGAATTGGAGCGCAAAGTTTTTCAGTTTTTTTCAAGCAAGCTATCAACCAATCAAAACGTTTGTTTCGACTACTGAGAGTGGGGAAGAACGTTGTTTAAAGTTTTTTCCGCAGAAACAGGTACTGTTTTTTTGTTGTCAAAATTTTTTATGTCACCTGGACATCAACCTATTTAACTTGAAAACAAATAAATTTTTCTTATTTCTTGGGGTGCTTTGAGAATAGATTGCTATGACTTATTTTCTATTGTAAATAAACTGTACACCCACACGCCGATTTAACTGGTTGCAATTTTATGATGTTCATTCAAATCTAGAAGTTGAAAAATTTTGTTGAAACTTAAAGACAATGGCCTTGACCTGTACAAAGATCTTAAAAAGAGTTAGATCATGCAGACTTCGGAATTGAAGAAGGAAGCATCTACAGTATTCATGACTTCGCAGTAAAATTTGTCCCTAACGACTTTTGTTAATCATATTGCCCCAAATAAAAATAAACATGGCGTTTTCGAAGTTCTTTTGAAACACACCCCTCCCGTAGATTCCTCTGACTACTTGTAATTTCTGTTCATATGTACCTGGTATTCCTCCGCTCTCTCTTGTGCCTCTTCTATCATCTGCTTCATGTTCGTTATCTCCTCCTCCCGCTGAGACATCTTACGGTCATACTGCTCGGCCGTAAACAGTGTTCTGAACAAAGATTACCACTCAGTTTTGATCAGGTTGAATAAAAGATTTCAACGACGTTTAACGTTTGTTCACGATCAAGCAGTAATGAACCAGAAAACGGTGTCCATAAATGTCTGCTCATGACTGCTTGATCGTGATCAAACGTCTCAAAAACCTTCTAATCAATCTGAAATATGCGGGTCATGAAAAAAGGTAGATATCTGCTGGAAAAGTTTGTCGTTTTTCTATAAACTTGCGCGATGTAACTCGATTGTGCGACCCGGGTGGATGTTTGAGTTTTATGGTGGGAAAGCCCTATAGTCGAGCTCAAAGTCAGAACATAAAGTCTGTCAGTCGAAACGTGAAATCGCGTCAGTCAAAGCATCGTTTCAGATGAAACATGCATTCGAACGCAAAGTCGAAACTTCAAGTCAAAATTAAAGTCGAACACAAAGAGAAACGAACTCGAGTACGTAGAATCATAAAGTCGAACGAAAAGTCAAAACATAGAGTCGAACACAGAAACGAAACCTGAAGTCGAAAATAGATAAGCAGCACAGTGATATTGTATAATCAATCCTTTTTAGTCACCCTGATTACAATAATATTACAAAATTTGCCGAGTTTGACCAGCCGGGTTGACGAAAAAAACCTATCATACAAATTTATAGAAGGAAAATTTTTTTCATAGACTAAAAAATAATATGAAAAGAGAATTATAAGCATTTTTTCCATTCTATGATTTTTTATAATAACTACTCTCTGCCAAATCTGGAACCAAATAACGAGCTTTTTGCCATAAGAAAATTGCATGATAAGCATTATATTGTTCAAAAAAATGTTTTGTGATTTCATTGTTGCTCTCATGTAAACAAAAGTTTTTCCCAAGACCTCAATTATGAACATGTATGAAAGAAATTTTTCTTCTGTGGAAGTCAATCGGGCAGAGACAGCTTAGTTTCATAGGTGCAAGTCTCAAGTTTGTTATTTGAAGCATGATTACTTAAATTTTGTACAAAGAAAAATTAGAATTTATAAAAGAGAAATGCAACAATAAATTTCGTTAGGGCCAATTGGTGATTATGAATTGAAATTTTTTATCATGTTGTTGCAATCAAGTTATCCTTTGCTTTTAAACATTTTGGTCAAGTTTGATAAATTTTACCAATTTTTTTGTTTTTAGGTCCTTGTTTTTACATCACAATGAATTTTGGTTAAGGTGACTCAAAATCCAGAGATGAAGAAGGAGCAAAAACTAAAACAAGGACAGCCGGTTACTGTTTCACTTTTGTCTTACAATAAATTCCAAAGTTTTTTCAAATTAGTGTAGTTTTTTTTGCGTGGTGACATAAAAGAATTTGTACAAAAAATTTTTTACAAAATCGACAGTTATAGTAAAACGGTCATTTCGAAAAAAATTTTTGTCGAAAAATAACTAGAAAAACGAAAACAAAGTCTACATCACAATGAATTTTGGTTAAGGTGACTCAAAATCCAGAGATGAAGAAGGAGCAAAAACTAAAACAAGGACAGCCGGTTACTGTTTCACTTTTGTCTTACAATAAATTCCAAAGTTTTTTCAAATTAGTGTAGTTTTTTTTGCGTGGTGACATAAAAGAATTTGTACAAAAAATTTTTTACAAAATCGACAGTTATAGTAAAACGGTCATTTCGAAAAAAATTTTTGTCGAAAAATAACTAGAAAAACGAAAACAAAGTCTTTAGAAAAATTTTAGACAAATTTTCGTACTTTTTTAAATGTTCAGTTTGTTTAGAAAAATTCCAATTTTTTTGGAAAGCTTGATTCTCAAACTGGCTCAAAAAACTACTTTAAAACTATTGAATCAAAGTTTTCGCTGTTTTAAAAAAGCATAAGTAACCTATTTTAAGCCTGCTCGCTTACCTTATTTGCTCGAAATAAGACCAAACATCGAAAAATTCGAACGTGTTTTTCTCGACACTGAGAATCATCGTCCAGTTTTTTTGAAATGTCGCTGGAATCAATGAAAGGGTTTTAATTTATTGTAATGACAGGTTTTTAACAAAAAGTTGAAGAAAAAGCAAAAAAATAAAATATACCCGAATACAAAACTACTCACTATTTTCAAAAGTCGGGAAAAAATGATTTTTCAGAAACAACCAGTTGCAAATTGGAATGAAATAAATACTTAGCTAGACAAACATAAAACTGGCAAGACAAAAACAAATTGGCGAGACTAAAGTGTTTTGCGATTAAAGCGAGCTCTCCTCGTTGCTAGCATTTTGAAAAATGTTTTATGTGTATTTGTGGAATCGTTCGTAACGCAGGTCTTCGTAATTGGCTGAACTAAAATCATTGATTTTCGTCTGCAGATGAATATTGTTTGTGTGCACAAATTAGTCTATCACCTTTAGAAATACAATCAAGTTGGTCAATTTTGTTATTTCATTGTTTTTTTGTTTTGCTGCTCTTTTCTATAACACAGTGGAATTATCGTTAATGTGATTGCAAACACCCTAAATTGGCATCACTGGTTTTTTTTTAAAAACGCCGTGAAAATGATACAATGGTTGAATCGGTAGTAAGTTATGTTCATCATGAGCTATTTTGACAGCTCCTCTTTATTCGGCCTTTTGAACAAAGATGCAGTTCATTTTCATCAAATGATTAAATATGAAAATTGATGACACCGACAACTCTATTTTTATATGAAACTGAAATAAGTTTTTTCGCAATTTTTACGTTGTTTGAGCAACGTTTCATCGTTCTGCAGTATTTTACTTAACTAAATTCATTTACAAAAAAAAACACTTTTTTGATTTTTATTAGTTAAATTCATGATGGATTTATTTACAGGGATGGATCCAGGATTTTTTTCGAGGGGTGTGAGTTTAGGTGGTATTGGTTAACTCATAGAGTAATTTCGGATAGGGTACACCGTCTGCTCGTCACGCTATCTTATTTTCGGCCGGATAGATTCGTGCAACTTCTTAATCTAATACCGATCCTAATCTTACTCTTATATCTACTAGTCTCAGGGTGTTTAACTAGTCTGTGCTAGGCTCAATAGATCTAGAGTATACTGGCTTATTGCGACTGCTGAAGTTCTCTTGGAGAGGCAACTAATTTCTAAGTTAAATTCAAATCTCTCTGGTGCTGAAATTACAAGTAATTTCAGCACTTACAAATAAGTGGGTTGTTAGTTAGATGGATTATGATTGGTTGATGTTAAATATTTTACAGTGGTAAAATATCCAATTTATCCAATTATTAAATGTAGTTTAGATCAGTTCCACCCATCCGGGTTTTACAGAGTTTTTTAGAATTATCTTTCTGCAATTTGAAGGATGGATGATGAACGTTGGTATTTGGTGATCATCGTATTCTTGTCCGGTTCCTCTTGGATAAGGAAGTTCCAGGACGCTGAATTATGATCAGGAAATTATTACGTCGTTTTTTGACAACGATTGTGATCCCCAATGAAATCAATCCGATTCCAAGATGGTCTGCTATGACGGTTTTTTCTGTATTATGTAGAGAACTTGTTTTGTGTGCAACCTCGTCTGGGAATGGCGTGAAGATCGTGTGTGGAAGAGATACCTTGTAACTCGGATCTGTACGTATACTTGAACATCGATGTGGTCATTGGTCTAGTTCAATGAAGTCCTTTTCTGGTCAAGTCGTACTCTAAATCCTTTGAGTTGTGATTGTGGACGGCATGTCGGTTGTGCTTAGCCATTCTTTTGTTCGAGTGTGATGGGATCATCTATTCTTTGGATGTGTGTCTTTGTTGTTGTGTATTGATTTATATACTGCAAAGTATGATTTACATTTTATAAAATTATGTTAATTCAATTTTTTAATCATGATTTTAGTTAGTCGTTTTCACAAAAGCGTTTTGTTTTAGTTTGGTTATTTTGAAGAGTTACTCACCCTTGAGTACCTCTTATTAAAAATAGGAGTGTGGTCACAAAGCGTGGATGTAGCGCGGTGGGTTAGGCTGGCTAAAGAGCATGCTCAGGACGTCCTCTCTGGTGGGTTAGGCCAGGAGTGGGAGTATGATTTCATGCTGTTTCTTTGAGAGGTCCTGTTATGTGATAACGTTTTATGTTGGGTTTATGTTAGTCTTTCTTATGTTACTTTGGTTGTGTCATTTTTTCAAAATCCAATTGTTTTTGGTATGGGTTTGTCTTGCGACTTTTTTGTGTTTTATTATTTCTTTCTTAGACTTTATAATAGTCTTCAAAAGAATAAATTACCCAGTTTTAAACTGGGTTAATCCGGTTTGGGTACCGTTGGTTTTTTTTTCTTAGTCATGCTGTTATTTTATGATTTGTGGTGTTTAGTAAGCTGCGTTGGTTAGTTTGGTTTAGTATATAATTCCTTTCCAACCGGGTTAAAGGAAAGTTTGAAACGTGTTATCGTGTGTTAGAGTTGTTGAGTGTCAAAACTTGAAACTTAAAATCATTATTTAAACAATTCTTCGTGGGCGAGCTGTGCGAGTTTGGATAGAATTCCTGTGCGGGTGAATGAAAATATTTGAAAAGGTTAGTACTGCTTTCTCATTTTATCAATTTATTGCATATAATTTGAATTTTACTGCGTTTGGGGGAAATTTAAAATTATAAATTTTCATCGTAATTAAGTTTATTGCTTCATGGGGAAATAATTTATAGATAAAATTACTACATTTGGTATGAATTTTATTACATTATTTAGTGCAAGAAATTAACGAATTTTAAGAGAAATTAACAAGTTTGTATTTTTATTTTTCTTTTCTGTTTTGTGGATGATCGTGATGTGAAGACTAGAAATATAAATCAAACATTGATAGAAAATGGTTAGTACTAATTTAAATTTATTAGTGAAGAGTATTTTAAATATACTTAAATGTTAATCATCTGGGAAAAAGCCGTGGGGGAAGATGTCGTGTATCATATCTGATGTTGTTAGTAATTTGGCTAGTATGCGTATGATGTTTTTAGTTTGTAGCAGTGGCCAAAGCAA